CTACACCCATCTACACCCATCTACACCCATCTACACCCACCTACACCCACCTACACCCATCTACACCCATCTACACCCATCTACACCCATCTACACCCACCTACAAAAAAACAGAATTTTTATGAGCGCAAAGGTTGTTTTCTCCAGCGATGTTAAACATTATATGCATGAATGAGTGTATGTATGTATGAGTGAACTATTTGATTAAATGATTAAAGGATAATGTTTAATATTTGCTATTAATCTAGACATATTGTGTGTACTTTGTGTGCATTTAATCCCTTTAATAAAACAAAATAAATATCAAGATTTCAACAGGAATTAACAAATAAAACAGAATAATTATTCAAATTTACTTGGATAAAATGAGGAGTTACCGGATATAATGAAGATTTAACCGGATTCAATAAGAAGTTACCGGATATAATCAAGATTTAACAGGATATTATCAAGATTTAGCAGAATATAATCAAGATTTAAAAAGATATAATCAAGATTTCACTGGATAAAATAAAGATTTAAAGATTTGACAGGATATAATCAAGATTTTATAATCAAGATTTAACCGGATATAATCAAGATTTAGCAGAATATAATCAAGATTTAACCGGATATAATCAAGATAGAAGCAGAATATAATCAAGATTTAACCGGATATAATGAAGATTTAACCAGATTTAATAATGATTTAACCAAATGAAATAATGATTTAACTGGATATGGTCAATATTTAACAGCAGAATATAATCAAGATTTAACCGGATATAATCAAGATAGAAGCAGAATATAATCAAGATTTAACCGGATATAATGAAGATTTAACCAGATTTAATAATGATTTAACCAAATGAAATAATGATTTAACTGGATATGGTCAATATTTAACCAGAAATTAAAGGTAAAACAGAATAATTTTCAATATTTAACCGGATATTATCAAATTTTAACCAGATATATAAAGATTTTCCAGATGTTATCAAGATTTAACCGGATAAAATCAATATTTAACCAGAAATCAAAAGGTTAAATAGAGGCATTTTTAATATTTAACCGGATATTATCAAATTTTAACCAGATTTATTAAGATTTACAGAATATTATAAATATTTAACAGGATATAACAAAAATTTACCAGATATTATCAAGATTTAACTGGATATAAGTATAAAGCTAAGGCTAAACCCGATATTATCAAGACTTAGTACCGTATATATATATTTATATGTGGATATAAAATAAAAACATAAATATATAGATATATAACACAAAAGGATATATTCCATATAATTCTGTTCAGAGAAACTTTGACTTTACTCTTTCTTACCAAGTTTGCTCCTGGGGATGGGTACAGAATAATAATGCGGGAAGATAGATAGATAGATATATAGAACATAAATATATAGATGGAAGGTATATACAGACTGCAAGATGGATAAAAAACGATCGTTTTTTTTTACTGAAAGAATGATTTCATATAAATAACAATTTTATTGAAAGATCGTTCATTGGGAAAAGAAACGATAAATTTTAAGAACTAATAAGATCATATTTCAAACGTTTGAAAAAAGTAACGAAATGTGTCGTTGACGAAAGATGAACGAAAAAAATGTTAAAAGCCGAACGCGCCAATCTGTAGATATCTCACCAATTATTGAAAAGGTTGGCGTCGAAGTTGAAATATTCGACACAACTGTGTCGAGTTCCACATCTAGAACTTCGACAAAGTAGGACTGCTCAAGTCCACCATCAAATCCGGCGTTGCAGCGAAGATGCAGCGACGAGAATGTTTGATTGTCGACAACGCAGTTTTCGACAGAGTCTGGTCGTCCAGCAGGTATTAGTCGATATCCACAAGGGGTCGACTGCTCTCCGATCTATTAAACATTATGAAGATTTTATTGATTAATGAATTAAAGGGACTGCAAGTGTAATTTTAAGTATCCCTCCATGCAATGATGGAAATGCTCGATTCACAACGGTACCCTGCTGAAACCGTTATCTGATCATTAATGTGAAAAATATTGTTGTTTTTATCGGTTTAAAATTGTTTTATTCTATTAATTTCTATGTGTTGTTCTGCATTAGAAATGTGCTTGTCACTTTTGTAGAGAAACCACAATTAAAGATAAACAGTTTTCAAAAAGACAAACATTGATATCTAATTTGTACTTTATCAGGCAAAGCTTTAAAGGGCATCATTGTCAATATTTGCATGGAACCTCACTTGAAATTACGCTTACAGTCCCTTTAAATACTAATCTGTAATTAGATAGATAACTTTCTTTAATAGCATCTACATGACTCAGCTTCAATTAATGATTAAGATATAATCACAAAAAAAAATATATTTTATATACTCCAGCCGCAAACATGATGTGAAAGGTATCGGTTTCTTTTTGGACAGTTTTAAATAAAAATATCATTAATTTTGGCATTTTTAACAACTTAAATGACTCGGCACATTCTGGATTAAGGCCACTCTCCGCTAAGACTAGATATTTCTTCGGATCTGCAGATCACCGCAGTATATACCGAAAGGGTGCTCCATTATTTCGGAAAAACAGGCTTTACATGAAATCAACCAGAAAAGTTATCCGGAAATTAAAATTTACGGATATTATTTCTTAGTTGAGCAGAGTAGTGTTCAATAATTTAATTCTGTTCTGGGAGTATAAACTCCTAGTTTACCTGATTACTAGCTGAGCAGAGTAGGGTTCCATAATCTAATTCTGTTCTGGGAGTATATACTCCTGGTTTACCTGATTACTAGCTGAGCAGAGTAATGTTCCATAATCTAATTCTGTTCTGGGAGTATATACTCCTGGTTTACCTGATTACTAGCAGAGCAGAGTAGGGTTCCATAATCTAATTCTGTTCTGGGAGTATACTCTAACCAGCTTACTCTACCCTCGCTGGTTACCTGGGACTCCTGAATTCATAAAAGTTAGATCAAAATACGAAATCTATATTTTTTTTTTTAGATTTAAATATTTAGTTTGATAATATTTTCCTTCGAATTCAAAGCAAATTTGTAAAAAATTTCCATATCTATATTGCTTGTATGGGTGTCTGTTTGTTTGTTTGTAACCAATAAACGTCAAAACGGCTAAACCGATCGAGCCAGCATTTTGTGTGGGACCTCACATGACCCCAGAGAAGGTGTATAGAATATCAAATAAGAAACTAGTTCTTTTTTAATTTAATGCACCAATTCAAAAGAAAAATCCGCCAAAATTTGAAGATGATTTAAAATAGCCGACTTTAGAGCTACATCGAAATTTTTTTTTAAAAATATGAATGTGAATATTGTCGGAACATTTAAGTGTATAAAATTTTAAAGATAAAAAGCTTCAGTTTGGTAAAACAATAGCGATTAATCAAAATAGGTTATTAATTAGAAATTTAGGTATACAATATACAGTTCGAAAAATTGAAAAGAAATGGAATTTTTGCCACAAACTCAAATTTTCTAATCCTTATATCTTTGAAATCTGGTTGTAACTTTGATATTACTATAATTACTATTTGATACAACAATATTTATAGTTGAAATACCACAAATCAAGATTAAAGATTAGAAATATCACAAATATTACACATCAAGACTAAAAACTCAATTTCTTTACAGAAAAATTCGAACATTTTTGGGAAAAACTTTATTGAAAAAATTGAACCCCCCTCTCATAATATTTTTCCCAAAAATTTTTTCATAAGAAAATTTCTAGATACCCTGATTAAAAGATATTTCAATAATGTTGATAGATGTAGAACTTCACTAAAGGTTGAGAGTAGAATAGAAACAAGGAAGACAAGTTTAAGACAATGTGGGAGAAGTTTGGGATGCATTAGGAACAAATAGATAGATAGATAGATAGATAAACCTGTATATCCAGTAGCTCTCTTGACGTATTAAACTTCCAGGTAAACCTGAGGTTGGCTTCGGGGTTGGCAATCACCTCGCAGCGGACTCGGGCAGTTTCATGCTTAGCAACTCCATACACCTAGACACAAATAGAATTGATTATTTGCCTCAAACTTCTGATTTCTAAAACTAAAAATCTCATATCTTTAATATTTCAAACTATCAATTTCAGTGAATACCAAATTTATGTTTTTAAGGCATAAAAACTTCTAAGTTTGTCCATCAGAATTTCGTAAATCAGGACTTTATTTCAGAAGCTTGTCCTTCAGGGGTTTGGAGTTCAGAGCTGGGAACTTTTGAATGGTGGTGAATGCTTGATCCACTCTCTTTCTCAATCTTGAGATTAAATAATGCTTGTCATCCTTTTTATATTAATCTCTAGATTAATTAACCGATCGGGATTAAGGATATTCCATTCTAAAGTTTTCAGCTCAGGAGGTTTTTCATTAGAGGTTTGTCTATGAGGGATTTGTCTATTAGAAATTCTTAAATTATGGAAATATTTGCACTTGGAGGTTGTTTTGCAGGATTTTTCCATGACGTTATTTCTTTAAAAATAAGACTTTTCTTTATATTACCTGAATCTGGTTGGGAGAACATTCTGGAGAGAATTTAACCTCCAGGGGTAGCGGGGTTGATTCTCCTGTTCCCTCTGTGTTCTCTGCTGAGCAGGTGTAGAGACCTGATCGCGGTTTGAGCACGTGCTGCAGGACTAGCGTCTGATTACTCAACAGTATTCCATTCTTCTTGTCTTGGTTTAACAATTTTCCCTTCAACATTTTTTTAAATATTCAATAATTTTTTTTCATAAATAAATCATGTCAAAACTGTAAAAAAAAACATTGATTGCTATTGGTGCCAATGCAGTACATTTACATCTACCTGCGTTACAATCTGACCCATTTCATCATAATCATTTTTCTTTTCAGTATAACATCTTATTTTTTGTAAAACACCTTATTTTTTGTATGACACCTTAATTTTTGTACAACATCTTAATTTTTGTATAACACCTTTTTTATAACACTTTATTTTTTATAACACTTTATTTTTTGTATAACACCTTCTTTTTTGTAGAACACTTTAATTTTTGTATAACACATTAATTTTTTTATAACAGTTTATTTTTTGTAGAACACCCTATTTTTGACCCCTTCTTTTTGGTCTGTTTTGATTAATTTGGTCAAATATAAAAATTGTTGAATTTAAACTTAAAATTTCGATTCAATATCTGTCAAATACAAAACATATTCATAAACCATAATACAATGAAATGTTTGTTGATTACAATTTATTTTCATGTTTGATGATTACAATATATTTTCAAAAGTAATAAAAATAATATAAGTTTGCTCTTAACTAAGCACTTAAATACTCTTTTGCTAGTTAATAAAATGATAAGAGATCCCAAGGTACTTAAAAGATAAAAAAGTGCTTCTCTACTTTTTGTTTAAGAAATGTTCTAAAGCTATATGTGTTTAATGTAATTGCCACGTATATGTGCTTAATGTAGTGACCAAGTATATTTGTTTAATGTAGTGACCACGTATATGTGTTTAATGTTATGACCACATATATATGTTTAATGTAGTGACCAAGTATATGTGTTTAATGTTATGACCACATATATATGTTTAATGTAGTGACCACGTATATGTGTTTAATGTAATTGCCACGTATATGTGCTTAATGTAGTGACCAAGTATATTTGTTTAATGTAGTGACCACGTATATGTGTTTAATGTTATGACCACATATATATGTTTAATGTAGTGACCAAGTACATGTGTCAAATGTATTGACCACGTATAGTTTTACAACATACATTTTGAGAATAAATTGTGAAAATGAATTTTAGAAAAGTTTTTGAATCATACATCCTCTCACGACCGTAATCTTTAAACTAGAACGAGAAAATGTTAAATGTTAGAATTAGTAGAAAGTAATAGAACTTACATCTTTCTTCCAGTAGATTTTACGAGGATAAGGGTTAGATTTTATCCTACACTCAAAGTAGACATCGTCATTTTCCTTTAAAAAATATAATTTTTATGAAACTATTGTGTACTTTATCATTCTTCCTTAGTTCATCGTGAATTTCATAATGAACGTGCTATAAAGTAATCATCGTGCTATAAAGTTAAATAAGCTGTACATCATAGCACGTGTGCGATAAAGTTTTGATTGGTTCCTGGATTTTCTCCAAAAAAATTAGGATATTTCGAAAATATTTTTTTTCAATTAAAATGAAAATAAAGTTTAAATCAACTTTACATTTTGACTTCTGCTTTGTTTCAAAGCTTATGTGATCTAGATAAAGCCATTAAAATAAGACCGTACACAAACGTTTCATAAAATTACCTTTAACACTATTATATTGGAACGACGTGCTATAAAGTTTTTAGACTTAAATTTTCTCTATATCTCGAATATATTTTTATTTTAGATTATATTTTGTACCTCGCTAAAGCTCAGGACAAAATTAATTCTAAAAAGGCTTGAACCTTCTCGATAAAGAGAAAATTTATAAACTTTATAACAGTGCGAACCAAAATAACAGTGTTATAAATAGTTATTACCAATTTATAGAATTTTTGAGAGAAAACATAAAAAACTCAATTCTTTTGTAAAAGATCTCTAACACTTGACTAATATGAAAATAGGAAATTATTTATCATTACTTGAAAGTTTGATGTTTCTCGAATCATAAAACTTAATCAATTCTTTTTATCAAATCAATATTGAAAATTTTCATCAAAATTGATATCAACATTATTTATTTCCAAGTTGAAGATATGCATATATTCATATTTAAAGATTAGTGAGAAAAGTAGCATTTAATAAGAAAAGAACCAAAAATAGAATAATGATTTTTAATAAGTGCTTAAAGTTAACAAAAAAGCACTTGTATCGAAATCTAAAAATAAGTTTCTATTTTATCATTTTCTGATATCTGATTAGATGAAATGTTTAAACCAGGATGTTTATGGTTAATAAATTACCTTAACGAAGTGTGGATCGATTGATCTTCCATACTCCAACTTTACATCCGGGATATCTTTAACAAAACTTAATCAGATACATTTTCAACAAAACAAAAATATGTAAAATGAAATTTTAATTCGTTTTATTTTTAATTTGTTCTACTTACAATGCACGGATAAGTTCCAGGTTGTGTCAATAAAAGATCCAGGTAAATTAGAGAGTCCAGCCCGACATTTTAGAATCTCTCCATTATGCAGAGAATCTGGGGTGTACAGGAGAGTACCAGTCGTTACCTTTCCATCAGGACTAGTCTAAAACAAAAAAAAATTATCATTTTTTTCTTTTTTGAAAATTTTGTAATATATTTTTTTCATGATGGATACGTTCTTGATTTTTGAAACCAGTTCTTGGTCGTTCTGTCATGGGGGAGTATTTTTTTAGAATACAAACTTCATCTCATCTGGTTGATTAAAAAAATGTGAACAATCGCTAACGCTTTAAAATTGTTTGTTTGAATTTTTCAATCATTTTTAAAAAACTAACATTTTTTATTTTCTCTGAATTTTTCTGATAAAACCCACCGTTTCCAAATTTTCGTTCATTAAAAAAACCGATGCTGAGCTCCACCCAGCCCTACAGTAAAAAAACGAAAGTCTTACCACAGGACTTCCAGCTGCTTCCTCTAATAGCTTGTCCCCTCTATACCAAGATATCTGTGGGGCCGGCCTGCCACCTGCTGCCATACATTGCAGTCTGTACTGTACACCCGCGCTCAAAACCGGTTTCATCCCAACAATCTTTACTGTCTCGGGACCATCTGTTAAAAATATTTATAATGAAATTTTAAACCAAAAAGTGAGAAAACATCATTCATTTCCCATTATTTGAGAGCTTTGCGCGCTTATTAGATATTATGACCTCGAATAAATGAATGATAAATTTGCATCGGAATGTAAAATTAGCACCAATTAAAAATCCCAATAGTTTTGACAAAAATATATATAAAATAATTTGATGATATGTTTTGTAATGCATGCAACCAATTTTATATTACCTAAATAAAGAAAACAATAATGTAGGAAACAGGCATTTGGGTATTTTGTCGATGCGATAGTAAAATATTTACTAAACAAATGTAATGTTGAGACGTAGACGTAGTTGAACTATCATGTAACTTAGACTTATTTTAACCACTTCTCAATTTAAATTAAGCAGGTGCACATACGAATTGAATCAACTACATTTACTTAACTCAACCACTTCTCTCTATTCATTAAATCAGATCCATGGGTTCTTTAACTTACAAGTAAGATCTAATTTGACTGAGGTAGAAACAGGAACAGATACGTTGTTGTTGGAAGCCTGGCATGTATAGATCGAGTGAAGATCTATTCTTGATATTTTCTCAATCACAAGACGGTTTACAACCTAAATAATTTCATTGTAAATTCACGTTCATCTGAAGTACTAGGTCGTCCTTTGGGCGACTAGACCAATTTGCACATATTAAAGAAAAAGATCATAGAAGGCCAAACAGGACAGTACAGAATATTGTCAAAACTTTAAAAGATGATAAAAATTAAGAATAAAGTGCAAAATAAGTTGAAAAGAAAGTGTGCAAAAACAATAGTGCAAAATTCCCCCTTGCAGGGATTAATCTTGGCATTATAGTTTCAGTATAAGTAAATATTTCCATAGGATGTTTAGCGCCGGTATAAGGATTTTTCTCTAATTGGATAATGAGCTGGATAGAAAGATAGATGTTACCGCCATGGAATTTCTATTGGTTCAGAATAGGCACCAAACACAGGGCTGAACCCTGCTGATTGGATCATGCGCTAATGGACTCGGCATACTAGAGTTTTGTAGGAATTGTAAGCATAATTTTGTGTTAACTTTCATTTAAAGAGGAGCATCCCTGATTCACAATGGCACCATTTAAACCTTTACTGATGATTAAAAAGGATGTCGAAGACGGACACATATTATATATCTTAATCTACTTTAATTGCTAAACTCTTATAGTTTTTAAGTTCTTAAATATGTTAAGAACTGTGTTAACTGCTGTGTTCTAATTGGTGGTGAGAAAATAACAATTTACAATTGAATGATAGAAAACCGTTTTTCATGTTTACAGTCAATACTTTGAGATAAGTCAGTAACAGATCAGCTAAGTTAAGATTACTATGTACACAGGCCGGGTTTTGGAGGAATTCATGCGGTTTCCGATATGTTTAAACAGAGAGATCTTTCTACTCGATCAACAGTCAAATGTTTAAAGGGTAACGTTGTAAATCGGGTATTGCCCTCTTTGCATTGAGGATCACTTGAAATTACGCTTACAGTCCCTTTAAGCGTGTCTTAAAAAGCATGAATTCAGGCAGTGCAGTGTGCTGGAGGACTCCAAACTTACTTTTTGTTTTCTAGTTTCCTGTGATGTATCTAGTAGTGTGTGATCTCTCCACCACGTGACTTCAGGGGCTGGGTTCCCACCAAGAACTTCACAACGAAGTTTCACCGTATCCCCCTCCCTGAATTGAATTATTGGTCATCCATGTGCAATTGTTTAAAGATCTAAGGTCAACAAACTTGTATTGTAAATCTTACATAAAGCACTAATCCAATTTTTTTTATATTTCGGCGGATCAAATCTAGCTTTATAGACAATTAAAGAACTCTAACAGTTTGCAGGTGCTATATGTCAATTGTCATTTCACTTCAAAGTTGAGACCTCTGAACTAAATGAATTTTGTTCTTAGACCAGAATCTAGTACTTCTAAATTTCTAAAGTGTTCAAATAATGTTACTGAATAATGGATTAATTCAAAATTCTAACCCAATTCCAACTCATTTCTCAATTTAAGTATGTGCATTGTAAACTTGTCTTTTGAAAACTTAAATTTTAGAAAATAAATTCTAAACTTCTGCACATTTTATTCTAGCCTTTAGCAAGATTTAAATTCTTGAAAATAAAACTTTGTGCAATATTTTATAAAGAAGTAAGTCAACCTTCTAAAACTCTATCAATCGATTATAGATTATCTAAATTCAGGTTTCTGCAGCTTAGCTTTCTTACAGGCTTAGTTGTATTATAGAACTGAGCAAAAATAACTGCTTTTAAGTTAATATTCATAGATTTCAATGTTAAATAGTTCCACAATTAAGATTCTGTGTTTAAAAAGATATTGTAAGGCCAGCTAGCTTCAACGTATTTATTTACCTGTAGGGCCCTGGATTTCAGGTATATATTTACCTGTAGGGTCCTAGCTTCGACACATATTTTCCTGTAGGGTCCTTGCTTTAACAAATATTTACTTGTAGGGTCCTTGCTTTAACAAATATTTACCTGTAGGGTCCTTGCTTTAATAAATATTTACCTGTAGGACCCTTGCTTTAACAATTATTTACCTGTTAGGCCCAAGCTTTGACAAACATTCACCTGTAGGGTCCTCGCTTTAACAAATATTTACCTGTAGGGTCCTTGCTTTAACAAATATTTACCTGTTAGGCCCAAGCTTTGACAAACATTCACCTGTAGGGTCCTCGCTTTAACAAATATTTACCTGTAGGGTCCTTGCTTTAACAATTTACCTTTAGGTCCCTCACTTCAACATACATTTACCTATAGAGCCCTAGTTTAGACAATTATTAACCTGCAGGGCCCTCGCTTTAACAAATATCTACCTGTAGGACCCTTGCTTTAACAATTATTTACCTGTTAGGCCCAAGCTTTGACAAACATTCACCTGTAGGGTCCTCGCTTTAACAAACATTTACCTGGAATGCCCTTCTTTAACAAATATTTACCTGTAGGACCCTTGCGTAAAAAAAAAATTACCTGTTAGACCCAAGCTTTGACAAATATTTACCTGTAGGGCCCTCGCTTTAACAAACAAGTAGGGCCCTGGATTTAAGGTATATATTTACCTGTAGGGCCCTAGCTTTGACAAATATTTACCTGGAGGGCCCTTGCTTTAACAAACACTTCCGTGGAGGGCCTTTCTTTAACACATATTTAGCTGTAAGACCCTTGCTTAAAAAAATATTTACCTGTTAGGCCCAAGCTTTGACAATATTTACCTGTAGGGCCCTCGCTTTAACAAACACTTACGTGGAGGGCCCTTCTTTAACAAATATTTAGCTGTAGGACCCTTGCTTTAAGAAATATTTACCTGTAGGGCCCAAGCTTTAAGAAATATTTACCTGTAGGGCCCTAGCTTTAAGAAATATTTACCTGTAGGGCCCTAACTTGAGCCGAACCATTCTATTTGAAGATTCATCATGAATATATGGTTTCTCTGGAGGAATAACAATGTTCAGGTTGATTACAGATATCTTGGTTGGAGCATGATGGAAATCTGTCCTACACTTGTACTGTCCTGCGTCCTCCTGGGTTACACCCTCCAGGACAAGACGACCAGGACTACCCTCACCACGGAAATAGGCTCGTCCCTGAATATAAAGGGAGTGTTTATAAATTTTATAAAATAGATTTGTTTAGTTTTAGGATTTCTGGTATATTTTAAGTTTTTAAAGAGTATTTGAGAAATCCAATACATACGGCAAAACAGGACAGTAACTGAATGAATCAACCCTTTTTTAACAGATTAATGAACTGTAGACTTAATTCAGACGTGTAACTTCTTACATGGAGGTCATTTTGCATTACTTCATGGAAAAAAATTCATTTTTTTCTATTTTGAATTTGTGTGTGGAGTTAACTATATGCATATCTTGTTTGCGGGGTAGAAGTGTTTTTGCATATTTTATGTAAAAACTTTAGGTCCAAATAGGAACCATTTACCATTTTAAAATATTCAAATGAAGTCGGTAGAATTGTACTGTGCATGTTGTGTACAGAAACTTACTGTCCACCTTGTACAAAGGTGTATTGTCCACATTACACAAATGAGTATTTTCCCTATTCAGAGGCGTCACAGGGGGGGGGGCTATTTGGGCTTAGCCCTCCCCCCTTAGAAATGCAAATTGTGTGGTTTCCAGGGGGGTATTGGGTCCCAATGTTACTGAGCCCACCCCTGAAAAAGTTCCTGAGTACGCCCTTGCCTTATTGTATAAAAGTGTTCTCTCCACATTGCACAAAGTGCATAGTATATTATATTAGGTTTCTTAAATCTTAAAAAAGATACAGTGTGTCTTTCTAAACATGACAATTAAAGACGACACACAGGTCGTTTTTTATCTTTTATAACTTTATCAAAGTGTAAGAGAAAACTGATTTGATTGTTAAATCAAAAATTTTATCTAGAAATATTTTAAAATAATCTTTCTGTATACAGTTTTCTAAAAGAAATTTCAACGCACGCTACATAATTTACGAGCTTTTTTCATTTGCGCTTGAGTGCGTTCAAACAATTTATAATTGATAATTATGATGTAATGGTTATTTTAGTATTTAGGATAAAATAATCATCAAAACCTGGATATTTTTATAGAAAAGCTGAATGTTCAATAATATGTAAAATTAGTTTTGAATTTAAAAAAATTTCAGGTTTAAAAATAAATTGTTGGTCAATAAAAAAAATAACGCTGTTGTATTTATTTGAAATGTTTAATACACAGTGATGCAAGGCTCTTACAGATTAGAATTATGCCAATTACTTATTAAATTAAAGCAAAAAAGTTATTTATAGTTATTAAACGTACAGTGATAATCAGAAAACTGTGGAATAGGATGTCGACTTTAAGACCTAGTCAAGACTTTAAATCAGCAATTGTGCAGTGTAAACAGAACCATTTCACTTAATAAGTGATTTAATAACGTACAAGAAAATCTATTTGCTTTGTAACAACTTCAATTGCACTTCAGTTTTGCTTCAATGTCGTCTTCCTATTATACAGTTTTCTGGTTATCACTGTATATGTCTTGGGCTACACAAAAGACAAAGTGAATTATTGTGCAAAATAAAAGGCCAAGGTGGTGCGACACTTGAAAGTCAACCCAATCTTGAAAATTGATGCAACATTTCAAAGTTTTCTGGATTTATGTGAATACAATTTTGATCTAATTAGTTTAAAATTATTTAAGATTTAAATATTTGGTTAAATATATTTTTTGACTCTAGTCTAAGATTGACAATTTTTATTTTATTATTGTTAATAATTTATGATTAAAAATAAAAATAAATTGTTTAGTAATTTTTATAACGTTAATATTCGACTTTTTCATTAATTATTTAAATGTTTATTATTATTAATCTTTTATGTTTTTGTTATTCATTTTCAATGTATAAAACATGTCTTGTTAATAATTATGTACGTGTCAAAAACTATTTTTTTACTGTTTACGTTTTTATACACAAGTAGAATTCAAACACAGTTTTAAGCTTTATTAACCATCGTTAGTTTTAATAAGAAGAGTAGTAAAGTACTTAACAAGCAATGGTGAGAATTTATCTGATTTTATCTGGTTTTATCGCCACATTAATCTTTTCTTTATTTCATTACAATGAATCTTTAATACTCCTGCAATACTGTAAATATAAAACCATTTACAGGGTATTCCGAAAAACACAGATAAAAAAATGTCTGCAAAAAAGTCTATAGCAAAATTTGTTTGTTTTTTTGCTCTGAACACTTTTAGATGTTTCAATCTATAAGGCAGCCATTTTCTTAACTTTGCTAGAAAGGAATTGAGTTTTTGCCACAAACTTAAATTTTCGAATTCCAATATCTTAGCGACCTGATGTTGTGCACATTTGATATTTCAAACTTAGATCAGTTAAGCTAACATAATTCATAGTTTGAAATATCTAAGGTCTACGACATTTGGTTGGAACAATACGCCGGGTTCCAAAGCTAGTATGTCATCAAAAATGTAATATCCACTACTGTTAAATTTTGTGTATAAAAAAAGGGGGGGGGGACATTTTTAAACGTCATTTTTTGTGAAACGCCCTGTATATCTAAAGTTTATCTGTCTTATCTCTTAATACCCTATCCACACTCCAGATCAGACTATAATCAATCTTCTGTGCATACTGTACAGAAAACATTACACCTTATTGTACATGTACTGGGCCGGGGCAGTGTACGGCAGATTTTTGTACATAAAATTCAAATTTTCGTATTCAAAATTAAAACCTCTGGACGTTTTCAGTAATATATCAGATTTACGGCGATGTAGAGATAATACATTTTTAGTTTTAGAAATCTGCAAACAAATTGTACACGTTTTATGATACTAGTAGATACTAGAGAGCCCACTGCTTATGCATGCTTTAGGCCCTGAAGTCTATGAACGGGTTCATGTTACAATGCATTGCATTTAAAATTTAAAAAAGCATTTTTTGCTTGAAGCTGCAGCAGTGAAGGAAAAATAATTTGAAAACTTCTTATTTATTTTTTATTTATGAATTTTACATTTGTATAAACAGGATGATTAAAACAATACCTAATAGGAATTGAGTATTTTTCACAAACTCAAATTTTCTAATCCCTATACCTTTGCAACCTGGTGGTGTAAACCTTTAATATTTAAAACTTAGATCATTTGATCTAAGTTTAAGATATCTCAGGTTAACGACATTGGGTTTCAAATATGTAGGTATTATTAAAACAAGTTTTTGTGAAAAATGTAGAAAGACAAGATAATAAGAGTGTTTATGGTTATAGTTTACAGTGTACACTAGTCTAAATATCACGTGGAGATGTTTGATTACATTGTCCATACACTAGGAACTTACTTTAGGATTACATTGTACATTACTGCACTTGCTGGGAGAAATTTAACCATAATTTTTCTTAAAAAAATATATTTATATTTTTTCAGGAAGCACTGTACTGCCATGTCCTTGGTTACCCACCAAGGACATGGCAGTAGAGATGAACCAAAACTCTAAAAAAATGACGATTTAAAGCTTGATTTTTTATTTCTGCATTCAATCAAGTTATTTGATGGTTTACAAAATGATAAAATATATAAAAAAGATACTTCATAATTTTTTGCAGTTAGATATTAAATACTGCAGGAGACATCGTTTTTACAATAAGTCAATCTTGATATTGTGGATTTTCAGGTTGTCCAAATCCACTCACTTTGATTCAAGTTTATGCATAATAGTAGATATATGTACATTTATCAAATGTATCTTTCTATAAAAGCACTTTTTTACATATAATTGTAAGTTTTTAATACCTTCTTCGACTGATTTTAAAAAATCCAGCCGCATCACTCAAAAAAGCACAACTCAAACCATTTTTTTAATTCTACTTAGGATTAATATTTTGTTTGTTGAATTTTTAAATTGTTTTACAATGAAATTTTTAACAAATTTGACTGAGTATTGCATCTTGAAATATCACAAAGTCTAATGATTATTCAATTACTGACTCATTATACTAAATCCATCTTAAAATCGCTCATTAACCAACGTTGTGATATTTCAAAATGCAATACGAGGTCAAATTTGTCAAAAATTTCATTGTAAAACAGTTTAAGAATTCAACACACAAAATATTAATCTTAAGTAGGGTTGAAAAATGGTTTGAGTTGTGCTTTTTTGAGTGACGCGGCTAGATTTTTAAAATCACACTTTAAAGGCCCTAAATATACCATTTAAAAAAGTAGTTTTGCACGGAAGAGTCAAATGTGGTGGTACAGAAAGGGAAATAGTTGTGGCTTATGGCTGCCGGAAGAGAAAAAAGCTAATATGTGGCACGGCAGGGGAAATTGTGGTGGCTCATGGCCGCCTGCCTTCCCCCGCTCGTGTAGCTTGCTCTAGCTGGTAATAAGTAGGCCCGGTACTTGAAATAAAATACATCTTATTTCTTGCTCCCGTGTCTTTTGATGAAATAAGTTTTAAAATGTTGTATTAGTAGGATGAAGTTTACAAAGCCAGGTTAAAAAGAAGCAAACCAGGGATAGAACTCCAGAACTTTAGAACTCAAACTTAAGATTGAGAAGGTATGTTGTTAAGCAGACCTAGAAACTTTAGATCATGGGGGGGGGTGACATTTTTATATATTTTGCTTGTCTGTCAGACTGTTTGTTTTTGTTTAATAAACGTCAAAACGGCTATACCGATTGGGTCCACATTTTGTGTGGGACCTCACGTGGACCTTCAAAATTGACAATTTTAAAATGCGCCAATTTAAATACAAAAATCCATCAAAATTTGATTATGGCCAATATTCCGAGCAATCGTTAAAAATTAAAATTAAAAGCCAAGTTTATTAATACATTTTAGTTTTAAAGAACTAAAGGGGGGGTTATCAACCCCCCCCCCTCTCTTCTGACTCCGCAATTGCACTCCATATATGTAAATGATAAAAGGCATTAGATAACAAAGCTAACTACTTTATGACAGCTAATTAAACCAATTATAAGGTAGAACGTCTCAAGCAACCGCAAGAGAAACCATTAATCAAAATCAAAAATTCAAATATTAAACATTCATTCATTCCTGGTCCTTGCAAACAAAGCTTTCGATGATAATGTTGTGAATCGGACTTACCAATCCATAAATTATAGAAGTTCATTTAATATTAATTCTTTAGTCCCTTATACCCTAGCTCCTCTACATTAATTATACCAGAACTACATTTTTCTTTCTTCAAGGGTTTTCTAAACTTGCGGCCTTTTTCTCCTCTTGTTTGTGTGTATGTGTTTGTTTGTGAGATAAAGTTTGTAAAACTTTTTTTCTTGTTCTTCTGTTCTTTTGTTTTTCCTGAATTCCCTTTGAAAGTGCTGACTGCTCATTTTGTATACAGGGATACCCACATAGGATTATAGAGACAATTCTACGGAATATGTTTAGAGACAATTCTACGGAATATGTTTAGAGACAATTATACGGAATATGTTTAGAGACAATTCTACGGAATATGTTTAGAGACAATTCTACGGAATATGTTTAGTCCGTTTTCTTTGTCGGTCAAAACTGGCTTATTTTTGTGCTTAATCATTTAGTAAACCATCAAAATACTATATTGAGTTTTGGGTCGTCTTTACAGTCTCAACCTTTGTGGGTAACCCTGTTTTCCTGACCATCGTTTTTATCGTTAGTTCCCATTTGACCCAAAGATAATAAAGACAAGATAGAGGTTCATAGATTATATAGACTGCTCTCTGTCAATATGATCAGAATTTTCAACTCCATATATCTTTGCAACCTGACGGTAAAAACTTTAAATATTTCAAATTTAGATTATTTGATCTGAAAGAATTCATAGTTTGAAATATATATTTAAATTCATGATTCATAAAACTTAATAAAACATTCAAATTATAACCATTAACTATGTTTATTAAACCGTATCCTTATGTTACACTTTTTTGGGCTTAATGTAAATAATATATTTATGTTTACTATCAATCATCTTTTTATTTCTATAATTACAATGAAAACACTAACTTAATTAGATTCATAGTTCAAGCAATGCAAACATGTTATTATTCTCCCAATTTTTTTCCTCTTTTATTTTTTTTGCATTCGTTTGATTTTAAATCATATTGAGGAACAACCTAAAATTTTTTTGAACACCTGATTCTTCTGTTAAGGAAGACTTTACATTACTGTTTAGAAGACTTTAAACTACTGTTTCGGAAAACCCAAAACTACTGTTTCGGAACAGTGCACCATGTCCTTCATTTTCGGAACACTCCAAACTACTGTTTTGGAACTTCTTATACTTTTATTTTGGAACACCTTATCATTCTGTTTCGTTTGGAAATACTCTAAACTACTGTTTCGGAAGACCCAATCAAATTTATCTATATATTTGTTTGATTTGAAACACCCAAAACTACTGTTTAGTAAAACCTAAAATACTGTTTCGGAACACCCTAAACTACTGTATCGGAACACCCTAAACAACTGTTTCGGAACAAATTAAACTATTTTTTCGGAACACCCTAAACTACTGATACGGAACACCCTAAACTTTTTTTTCGGAACTCCCTAAACCGCTGTATAGGAAACCCTTAATCTACTGTTTCGGAAAACTCTTAACTTCTGTTTTGGAACATCCTAAACTACTGTTCCGGAAAACCTAAACTACTGTTTCGGAAACTCCTAATCTATTGTTTCGGAACACTCTAAACTACTGTTTCGGAACACCCTAAACATTTCCTTTACATCTTGATATACCTGGAATCCTACGGGATCTTCACACTCTAATGTAATCTGTCATATGTTATCTTCATTCTCTATCTATCTATCTATCTATCTATCTATCTATCTATCTATCTATCTATCTATCTATCTATCTATCCATCTCTCTATCTATCTATCTATCTATCCATCTATCTATCTATCTATCTATCTACCTATCTTAATCTATCTATCTATCTATCTATCTATCTATCTATCTATCCATCCATATATTCATCTATCTATCTATCTATCTATCTATCTTTCTATCTATCTATCTATCTATCTATCTATCTATCTATCTATCTATCTATCTATTTAATAATTGTCTTTTCTTCTTTCTTATCTTAAGATCAGTAGTTGACAGTCCTCACTAATCATACTTTCAACCATTTCACATCAAATAAATGTTCAAACAACGTTTTTTTTTTCAAATAAATATTCTTGGTTTTAACGAAAAAATAAACATATAATACTCAAAAACCTTAAAGCATTATCTGCAAGACAGTTTTTTTTATTAGCCTTATTCAACATTTTAAAAATGATTCATTCTTCTTACTTAAATTTTCTGATTTGTCCCGATAATCGTAATTGAGACCCATTGACGATCTAATATGATGTGGGACACCCTGTATTAAAACAAAATCTGGAATAGAACGAAAAACTCCTGTTTTTGGATTGACTTCCGGTAAATATCATTTCAAACAGCTAGATGATTTGAGAAAGAAAAAGAAAAATTAATTCGTTCCCAAAAATTTTAATCTGGTTTCAAGATGTAAATCTACGTTTTTGTTTTATTTCTTTGATAATAGTTTTACTTTAAAATGTAACTTTCTCACATTAAATTTTTCTTTTAATGTGAGGATGTTTAAATCTAGTTAATTTGGTCACCCCCCCCACCTCCCC